TCTATCTAGCTACCTATATGCTTATACACTTTCATTTTTAGTTTTTTTGGAGGGAGGGGGTTGTGGAGCTTTCAGGTGGTCCCGAGTCTAAAGGGATAGGACCCCCAAAGAGGGTCCCCACAGGCACACGGCACTCGCAGCCCCTTCCCTCCATCTTTGCCCCGTGGGGGGCGGTTTCCACCCATCTGCCCCACATTCCCAGGTCACCTCATCCCGGACCCCCTGGCAGGTGGTTTTCCAGCCTGGTCCCTTTGCAAGGGACGGGATGGGGGATGGCGCAGAGGGACCCCGATGGCCCCGGTTGTTCCCAGCTGCAGGCAGTGGATGGAGACCCCCTCTCCCCCTTTTCCAAAGCCACCCCAGCCCAACGGGGATGTAAATGCCACCCAGGAAGCAAACGCCACCCTCGGACAAGGCTATTTGCAAGGACCCCCCTGCTTGGGTGAGAGAGGCCTGGGAAAACCCTGGAGCTGGGATGAAGCATCCCTGGGGAGCAGGAACCCACCAGTGATCCCCTCCAGGAAGTGGCTTTAGGGTCACTTGATGCCTTTATGGCCCCGACTTGGTGACACGGAGCCATAGGGCATCTCCAAGCGAGTGCGGATTTCCCGTCCCAGGAAAACCAGGGCCCGGCTTGGAGAAGGAAGGGGTTAAAAAAGCCCCAGACTGCAGTTTTTGGGGAGGTCCAGGTGTCTGTGCAGGGTGGGTGGCAATAGGGCCCATGGATCCGGGTGCCACTGTTGACTCCGGTCACATTATGGGCGATGGCAAGTGCAGGATGCAAATGTCCGCTCCGATGGGATCCAGATCCTCTCAGCTTTCCCAATCTCTCCCACTTCTTTTGTGGGGGATCTCGGAGCCAGACAAGCACCCCCAAACCTCCCCACACGCCCTTTCCCCAGCCCCTTTCGTTTTTCCCTCCGGGACCGAATTAAAAAGCGGGCGGAAACAACATTTTTTTCCGAAGGAACTGATTAAATCTACGGGAGCGCTTTGCAAGTGGGCTCCATCCGAGCGGCCTTATCTGGGAAGGCAACAGGAAGGCAACTTCTTAAATCTCCAAGGCGCGGGACGTTTCCGGAGCCCAGCACAGATTTACAAGCCCACAGCACACACGTACGCGCTGCCCGGCACATCTCCCCGGTGCCTTTTGCAAAAAGGAAGGTGCCAGTGAGGGATTTCATCCCTCCCATCCTGTTCTTCCTCCTGGAAAGCCCAGATTCCACAAGATTCCTTGTTTTTTTTTCCCCCCATAATTTCCCTGCAGCGGGTGTTGCAACTGTCTGAAGTTGCTGCATTTGGGATTCCCCCACTTGGCATCATTTGCAGGTGGCCTGCGGGCCTTGTATTACTTCTTATGTTACTTATACTACTCTTATAAAAATACTATACAATAAATATTATAAAAATACCACCTCTATATTTTAGGCCCCTGAGGCTGGAAAATTGCTGGGTTATCATGTTTGTGGTGGGGGGAAAGAAACATCATTCCGGTGGAGCACCATTACAGAACACAGGGCAGCGAGTGCAGCCCGCAGCGCCTTTCCAAGGTGCATTTTGAATGCAAACAAAAATAAACCCTTTTTTCCCCCTCCTCCCTCTCCTTTTCCCCCTCCTTTAGCACCTGGCATTCCCGTTGCATGAGTAACACGGGTTGCATCCTGCAGCCGCCTGACAGTGCTGGTTAAACCTGTCCCGGCGCAGGCTCCGCACGGCACCGTGCGAAAACGCCGCCTCGTCATTGCGGCTGCATCGGGGTCAAAATGTGGCACGGGGACCATCTTCTGGCTCCTGCAACCCCCAATATTCTCCACCCTATTCCCTGTCTTGCATCACTCAAAGCTTCCAATGTCCCTGCACAGGCTCGGTGACAACCTTGGCTATTGCCCAGGCGCTTGGCGAGCCCCAGTGGGGCTCTTGGGCCACCAATGCTTCACCAGCAAGATTTATATTCCTCACCATTACAAACCTTTTGTGCTGTTTTAAGACCCTTTTCTTTAATTATCTCTTCTAAAACAGGCATGATGCTCTGCAGCAATTCCAGAGGATTTTGCCTGGTTTTCCTCTCTCCTTGCAGCTTCCTTCCTCCTCTCCGCGCTGGCAGGTTTGGAGGGTTGGTGACGTAAATTGGGCCTTTTGAAGGTGGCTGCTTGGGGAACTTCCATCTCGGGTGTTTAAACAAGAGAAAATGGGTTATTTACGCTGGTGCAGGCGGGTAGTTTTTGGGGCTGGGAGCTTTGGCTTTGGAAGCTGTCAGGTCTACCTGCTTGCCTAAAGGGAAATCGTGTTCATTGGAAACGGGATCACAGAATCATTGTGGTTGGAAAAGACCTTCAAGATCATCAAGTGCAACCATAAATGGCACGGGAAGCAGGTCTCTGAAATGTCCTAAAATAACTGCATTTTGGATAGGATCTAATGGACTGAAAGTCCCGTGGAAGTAGAGATAGGAGGTTCTGGGCTCCAGTTTTGGTGGGTTGCCTTGACTCTTGAGATTCCCACTTGCCTATGCCTTAAAATAACTCATGGGCATAAGGCAAAAAAGCGGCTGAGTCTTGGAAGGAAACACAAGGACTGGGGCTTCGTGATCCAGGGTCTTGCCTCCAAAAGCAGCTCTGAAGAGGAAGACACGGGTAGAACAAAACTCTACGTACAAGAACAACACGACCCCTGCAAGGGAAGCAGCTCACGAGTGACCATCATCGACATGGGATTTAAAGCGTAAAAGCAAATTTGCTTCTACACCATCAAGGATTTGGGATTACTAAAAACGTCTAGGCTACCAGGGCATCGCGAGGAGTTTGGAAGCAAAAGCTTTGGTGACTACCATTTTGCTCCATTTTCTAAGTAATTTAATTCGGAGGGACATTAATTCGTGCTTCGATCTCTGCATACAACGTGGAAATATATAACAGAAGACCCTGCTGTTTATGAGTGCTATTTTCACAGAAATAAAACCCAAGTCATTTCTTTGCACTTACGTTCAGCTCATTTAGCAACTTTGGCAATTTTGACTTTCTGTTTTTTTTTTTTTTTGTGCTTTCTAAAGAAGAACTTCGGGCCAAACCAGAGTTTAGTTAAAACTGGACTCTCATTCTACCATAAACAAAATGCAATTTACTGCTTTGCAATCACCCCCTTCACTACATCCTGCTATGAAGAACTTCTTGTCAAGTAATGCAAAATCTGATCGCTAACATATAAAGAGCAGCTAAGAAAATACTTTTTTCCCCAAATTTTAGCCTGTTATTCCTTTTTTTTCCCTCACAATCCATTTTCTGTGTACGTTATTTCTCTTTGAGCTAGATATTGCAGGCTCATTAAAACAATCACACATTTTGTGGGTTAAAGTGAAATTCACACTTCTCCCTGCACAGGTCGAGAAATTTGTAGCTGAAATTTAGATCCGAAGTAGGTTTAAATCATAGGTCGCTGCCTGACCGCAGAAACGCCATAAATTTAAAGGTTTATTCCTGTTTTTATACTTTCTGTGACTAACTCTGGAATCTGGCCAAACACTTTCCATAAGAATGAGCACTTAGAAACTCACCCAAGATTAATCCAGCGAACAAACAAACAAGCCCGGTTTTGTTTGGAGAGGAAAGCCTAGTCTTTTCCTAGCACCTTTTTAACTCCAAATCCCACAGAAACTGTGAAGTCGAGCTGCCTAGGGGTAAAAAAACATGGGAAATGGTGAGTTTAGGGCTCTTACTGACAAGCAAAAATCCTAATTGGCGGTGACCATGAAAATGCAGCGGTTGCTTTGAAGGAGACCCGTGATACTTAAGATGTTTTGATGAAATACGAATTATTCTGCTGCCTTCTTGCATCTTTACTCACCTCAAGCATGGAGCGTTTGCAGAAGCCTACAGCAGCCACGGTGTTAAGTGATATATTGGTTAAGGAAGCCGGGGAACAAGCCCGGCCACAGCACCATCCTGATGGCAAATATTTGTATAATACTGAATTTGTATAATACTGAATTTGTATAATACTGAAAGACAAACTCAACCAGGGTCTAGGAACACCAACAGGCCAGTGTGCAACACACAAAACGGCATCTTGGGCTCTCCTACCATAGTGTAAAACCATAGTAATTTTGCTGCAATGAAGACGTGTGCTGTCAGGGCAAGAAAGATGGATTTCACACCAAAATGTCTTAAAAAAATGATAAGTCCAAGGTAAAACACACCTAAAACACCGGAATTCCTCCATGTGGGTTGTGTGCTGTCAACTGTTTCTCTTAGTGGGCAATGGAGGCAGCTTTAAGAAATTTGTTCATGTTAAATCCGCATCTAGATGGTGATTTTCAAGCTGTGTTAAGCAATAAGGTAACATAAATTAAAAATATAGCCATTTTATTCAGCAAAACAGGATGATGGGATGGTTTAGATTTATAGCAATGAAGCACATCTAGCTGGGTGAGCCAAAAATGCTGAAATGCGTCTCAACTCCTTGAACTGTGATATAAAACTGCAATATTTTGAAGGGCAGATGCATCAGTACCACAAATGTCACCTGGGCACCAAAGATGTAGACATGGCTAAAAAAGACACAGCTCCTGCAGCTCTGTTGCAAACTCACACCAGCTCCACAAGTTCCTGGCTAGGGAAGAAGGGGAGTTATTTTGTTTCATTCCTTAGTACAGACACTCAGGCATAACCCTCCAATTAGAGGAAGCATTTTGGGAAGAAATGAGGTTTATTTTACATATAAAAGGAAATCAATGGAAAAACAAAACATACAACGTGGCAAAACTCCTTTTCCCACAAGCGGAGCTGGGCTATCAGAAGTGGAAACCACGGTGGCTTTAAGAGGAAAGGCAGGAGCAGTTCTCACCCCTGGAAAGGGCTATATTTAAGCACAACCTGTGGTTTCAACTCAACACCCAGCAGCTTGTTCAACTGTGAGCTACAACCTGATGTCTGCCTGATGGGTTTATATTGTCCACCACGATGAAGCCCAAACCATCTCGAAGTTGCAGCCTGGCTCTTACACGGCTAAACCTGCTTGCTGCGTTGCTTTTTCTTTCCCTGCATTTCTACTTTACACTCATTTTCCTCCTCTTTTTGCCTTTTATGTTTCTTCTTACGGCGCTTCTTTTCCTTTGCCTCACAGTCTTTTATGTGGCACTCTTCCCCATCAGACACCCCCGTATAAATTTCTCCACCGCCCGTATTTTCATAACAGCTCATGCTTTCCCCTTCATGCTCCTTTTTGTGTTTTCTCTTCTTTTTCCCTCGGTGACATTCCTCGTAGGGAGCATCCAGTTCCTCCCCATTCAAGTCACCTAACTTACGGCGTTTCATTTCTGGTTTCTCATTATTTTCTGTATTCTCCGCCTCCTCCCTCTTCTGCTTCTTCTTTTTCTTTTTGGCTTTGGTTTTCAGTTCTTCTGAAGGCTCTAAGGCTTCATCTGCTGCCGGACAAGAACTGTCTAGCTCTGTTTCGGTTTCATTTTGGGATGCCTTCAATTTTGCCATGCGCTTGGCAAAATATTCCTGCACGGTGAGGGAACTCTTCACCGTGTTGGCACCTTCTGCAGGCTCCGATAGCCACGGCTCCCTCTGCTTCTCTTCCTGCGACTCCGTGTTGCCAACATCCTCCTGCAAGGGAACAAAACAAAGAGGATCAGGAGAGTTGCAAGGAACCTCTCTAAAAATAAGGTTTTCTTCGCATGTTCAGGAGAAAAATATATGAAAAACAAAGGTTACTTTGAAAATTAATGTAAGTATACACTTGGGCAGAATTTGAGACGCAGCCCTTAATGCAACAGATAATGTAGGTTTAGGAAGAAAACCTAAAAAGGGGGAAGACGGAAGGCAGAGAATACAGAATATAGTATACATAGTATATAGTATATATAGTAGAATATAGTGCATATTCAGGACAGGGGAAGGGATTTGATTCCCTCTTGTTCTGAATTTCTCACTGTTTATCTACGCTTGTGCAAGTCATGCAGATTATGTATAATAATATCAAACTCAGTGTATTATATGCACTTTGCAAGGGCACATGTCTCTACAAGATATAAAATAACCTGGAAAATAATACACCATGATCTACTAGCCTGTGGCATAAGGGAAATCCCATGCCTGAAATACCTCTACCTATAAATACAGCAAAGTGCAAGAACTTACTTAAAATATAGAGGAGAGCCCAGCCTTAATGTATCTTCTCTGCCTTATCTCACCTTTAGAAATATTTGTTTCATAGATGGCTCACTGTCATTGTGTCCTAAATGCTGCTATTTAAATATACTCCATTTGATCACAGAGCAGCTTCAAATGTTATCAGATGCCCCAAATTTGTAGTTTGTATCTTGCAAGGTTTCTGCATACACAAAATAAAGAGTGGCTGAACTGTGGCTGCAGGTGAAGAGCTATAAAAAGAACCTGGTATCTACAGAGTAAACATAAAACAAAGAGCAAACGAGAGCCATTCAGCTGAATAATGCAAGTACGGTGTGAAGAGACCGACTCGGAGAACGCAGCAACTGCAACGAGATGGAAATGCCTAACTTGGTCAATTGCCTGTGGATCACAAAACAAGCCAAAAAAGCAGCTGAAATTCAGACTAGCTTATATGGATATTGAAGCACTCAAAAATAAGTAAAAAAAAAAAAAGCCCCTTGTGGCAAGTGCTTTGGCAAAGGAGATATCCCTGGATATCTCCCAATTTTTACACTGCGTTTTTTCAAGTCGTGTATGAACTGTGCATGATGCTTACCAGGGTTTTGGCCTACAGGACCCAAGTGTTGAGGAGAAGGCAATCCAGAGACACTACAGTCCATTGTGATGGGCATAATGGAGATATTACGCTTTTTTTTCCATTTATAAATGCGTATATAGATAAGAGCATCCACTATAGCCATTCATCTTGTATGGGGGCTGCACTGATGATAAAACACCACCAAATCAGAGCCACATTCACTGGTATTAACTGATCTGTGGGGTGAAGGGAGATATAAAACCACCTATCTCAACACTTTACAGTTCTTGCATGATGGTGTAGATAAGCGAGCCGGTTCTCTTCAGGGCATCATTAAACTTGCCAGCTGAAGTGGGTTTTATTGGAGTTTGTACGTAGGGTTTTGCAGGTCTGACTCCTTGCAGATCTGTAACCTTTACTCACGCGAGCAGCAATGAGAAAACCTGTGTCATTAGTGATGCATTAAGAGTAGAGATTTCCACATCCATCTGCTTTCAGGAGAGCTATTCCAGTGGAACGAAAGCAATGCTATACTTGAGATGCCAGTAATGTTTGTGTGGGCACTTGCAAAAATTAGCTGCTTTTCTTCTAGGACTACCTTGTAGGGTATCTGGAGGAAAGTGTATGCAGTAACTGAAACTATTAGGCTTCTGCCAAAGAAGTCTGCAAAGAAATGTTGAATGTGGGGAAAAAAATATATATCTATGCATATACACACGTATGTATGGACTATATTTGAAAGGGGAGCTGCAGCAGACGTTTGACAAGACAAAATGCACAGGATAAATGGCCTGAGCTACGTTTACCGTCGCTGTCTTTCAAACAAGATGCATGTCCCGACTCAAGCCCAAGCAAGCGGCATTAGCGCGGATCAAAAATAGCTGCCCTGCTAAAGCAAAGTGAAGCAGGTCGCCTGCTTCCCCACTTCCCTCTACCCACGGGAGCGTTTTGACAACTCCTGTTGCAAATTGACAAACGGTCTCGCAGGTTTCTCGCCACGATGGCAGCACGGGCGGCCTCGCGCCCACCCCGATCATAGAATCACAGAATCACAGAATGCTGAAGGTTGGAAGGGCCCTCTAGAGATCACCTAGTCCAACCCCCTGCACACGCAGGGTCACCTAGAGCACGTGGCACAGGACTGCATCCAAGCGGGTTTGAAGATCTCCAGAGAAGGAGACTCCACAACCTCTCTGGGCAGCCTGTTCCAGGGCTCTGGCACCCTCACTGTCGAGAAATTTTTCCTTAAGTTCCTGGGGAACTTTTGGTGCTTCAGTTTGTGGCCATTTCCTCTAGTTCTGTCGGTGGCCACCAGTGAAAAGAGGCCAGCACCATCCTCCTCCCTGCCTCCCTTGAGGTACTTCTAGCCA